TTGTCACGCTGATAATTGTGATACTGATTGATGGGCAGACATTAAACTCAATTCAAGGTTAGGTACATGACTTTTTTATATTGCAGTCATCATTAAAACTTCTATTTCAGAGGAGTTCCACAGAGAGAAGCCCAACTGTAGAGTTTGCTGATGCGCTGGAGCATTAGCTTGGTTACTGAAGAAAGTATTTAAACAACCAGCATCAAGGAAACAGTGGAATGGTTTTATAGTCAGCATCCCTTTTGTGGATTACTTCTCCACCCCCCGGTATGCAGTACTGTCACTTCAGGAAACAGTACCCCTCCTCCTTGGTTTTCTGTCTCAGGGATGGTCAGGCATGTCCTATTTCTGTTTGGATTGCAGGTCAATTGCCAGGGTTGCTCTACCAAAAGACTGACAGCAAAGTGGTGTTGCTGTGGTAGTTGCTGTGTGTGCAAAAACCCCAGTAAAGGGAAAAAGTAAAGGAGTCATTGCTGCTGGGGCAGCTGGCCCTTGGGCCCAGCTGCACATTGGGTCCTGCCTTGCCCAATGATGGGGTAAGGCGGCTAGTAGGAAAAAACTGGGCTCCCTGTCAGGAGCTAGTCAGAGCACCCTGATCCTTCACCTCTCTCACATGTGTGTTCACAGCAGTGTGGGTTTGGTATGGTTTGCAGGGCCAGGAAAACTGTCTACCAGAGCTTGAGTCCCTGCTGAGCCTTGGAGTCACCTCTGGTGAGGGAGCCAAGAGGGAAAGGAATGTTTGACATACAGGGTCCCACTTCAAGGCATAAGAGAGCATGCTGAGCCTGTCTGCACTCAAACCATAACAGAGAATTTGGTGTTTTTTATTGGTTCCACCTCCCAGCCCATCCTCCAATGAAGGAGGAAGGAAGAGGTACAAAATATTAGTTCTCTGGGGTTATGATCCCAATCCTAAAACTCCATGACTGCAAGCAACCTTGCTTAGACCAAGAAGCAGATCTAGATTTAACCAATTTATTTTGCACATTTTACATACGCTTTACACAAAGTTTATTTTGACATCTGTTCAGCATGAATCTGCTTGAGATATATTAAATTGTATATACAACCAGGAAACTTGTAAAAGTTACAACTCAGATTATCCAACTCAGGTCTCCCCAGCTAGGAGAGCTTTGGTTTCAAAGTGCTATAGAGCTGCAAAATTTTGTTTGTTTTTTATACATTTTTTTTGTTTGAAACAATTAATTGTCCCTGCCTTTCCTCTTCATCACAACCTTTCCTGATCTATCCATTCCTTCTTCAACCACTAATAAATATTTGAATCACTGCAATTCTTTAATGGCTTCCATTAACTTTGTGCCCTAAAGTGAAGGAGGAAGGAATGGACCTACATCAGCATGATGATCTGGGTGGAAGCGAGTCAGTAGGGACTCCTGGGTCACCTTGTAGCCCAGCTGCACACCCACATCAGCTGTACCCAAAATGGGACAGTGGGCATCTGTGACATACTATCACATCGTGACATTTTCTGCCTCTCAGCTACTTAGGCTTCATTACGCATGTCCCATGGTCTTCAGCCACATAGCAATTTTCAATAGTCAGTAGTAGAACCTGTGTCTTACTGGCTAAAGGCTAAATCTGGGTAGTTTTCTAAGCATTTGTAATGGTACTTTCATATTAAAAACTTTTATCTAGAAAGACTAACAGATGGTATTTGCTGTGAACTTGGAGAGAGTAGATGATGCATGCTTCCTACTATCCACCTATAACTTCCAATCTTATAGAAAGTTAGAAAGATAATAGATCAAGTAATAGGGAATATATTGATAAAATAAAGTAGCTAGCATAAGACTAGGTCCTGGACAATGTGTTGTAGGTGACTCTGCCAGAGTGTTGTTGGACTATGCAATCTCCAGAGTTCCCTTCACATCTCAACTATTCTGTGCTTTTCTGTAACTAGAAAAGGATTATGCTTTTCACTCACACTTAATAACTTGTTTATTAATAAATAAAAATGGTTATTAATGACATTCAAATAATTCTTTTATATCTTCCCTGAGACAATGCTTGTCTTCTAGAGAAACCAAGCTGAAATATGTATAGACATACATGCTAGTTATATGTCATGATTTACAACTTCCATTAGAGGAATATCACTAGTTTAAGTACTGATTTAATTTTATTTTGATATTCTTAAAGTATTAGGCCAGTAATGGTAAGAACAGCAGAGTCACCTTCTCCTTATCATATGACCCTTAATTGTCCTCATGGGATATTAAATTTAAGGTGGAGTTTGTAATGTAATGTCTTTGGGGTTTCACTGTGTGACCCACAAATGTAAAGATATTTTAAATATTTATATTTATAAGTTACACTTATGTTTATCTTCTAGCTAAGTGGGAATAATAAGGCTGTGTGTGAATACATTACTCTTTTCCTCTGTTGAAATGTGACCTTTGATCTTTGGTAACTACTCCCCCATGAACAGCACAGTACAAATACGTCATGGAGGATGGTGTAAAGTTTCTCCCTCCTATTGCTTTGGTGCCTGTAAAGATCCTTATTTGCCTGCACAAATATTTTTGTATGTTTCATGTATTTGCTCTGGCATTAATTTTGCATATTTTTGGTAGCAATTTGGCTCCTTGTCCTTATGCTTTAGTGAGGATATTCAGTGCTTATTTAGGGTAAGTAAACAAGTGTAAAATCACTAATCTCAAAACATTTTATATCATGTTGCTGCACACAGTCCTAGGGAGTCCACGGGGCTCCTCAGCATCTGCATGACTGAGCAGACCTCAGGGCCTGACTGTGGTTGCCAGCTGCAGACTTACAGATGTGGCCTGCCCAAACCCAACAGATTAAGCTGGACCCAGTTCCCAAATACTTGTTTTCTCACAGCCTCAATCTCAAAGGCTTTCAAGATATATAGCTCATGTTTCCAAGGACAATCTTGATTTGAGTCACACAGGTATATTTTTGGCAAGGGTTCAAAGCCTCATCAATCTTTATCAAGCATGAGAAAAAGCTACATACCCAGACAAAATAACAGCCAGTTGCATGTGCTTTCCTGTCTTAGCTGATTGCTGGGAAGTCACTTAGGTCCAAGGGATATAAAAACACTTCCCCCTCTCTCTCTGTTAAAAACTTTTTGAAAAACACAGAGCCCACTCTCATTCCAGCATAGAGCATTATCCTCTCTCTCACCCTCAGCTACCAGTGAGACATCATAATATAATCATCATCTATTCCCTTTACAGTGACAATCCAGCATCAGCATTCTCAGAAACCGCCCCCAGGTAAATGCCTTTAGTCTCCTGACCTTTGCTAAGGTTCAAACTAGAGAAATGTGTGTATCCCATACAGAAGACAAATCATTAAAGACAATCTTCTTTGGCTTCTTAAAAATAAAAACATTAGCAGAATGTAAAGAAAAAGAAATTATTTCCCCTGAAGAGAAATATAGTCAAAGGACCCACACATGAGCATGATAGTCATGTTGTTTAATATAACTTTGGAAAACAATTAGACACAACACTCAAACATAAGAAGAATGGGAACATTTTCTGAAATTGTCGAATACATGAAATGCAAAATATGCTTTAAGTTTAATCTAATTAGATTTTCTGTAGGTGCTGTATTGGAAGCACAGTTTTATTTTAGTTCCAGTGGAAAAAAAGCATTATGTCAGTTTTACTTAGAAAGACACTCCCCAGTTTATCATACCATAACCAAATTAAGCTTGAGAACTACTAATCAGTAGGTGTCTATTATACAGCAAAGCATTAGCCTTAGCATGTACAATGCCTTCGGCATTCAACAGGGCATATACTGGAAATAAGAATTCCTTTGTCATTTGGCCAGGGAAGCAATTATCTTCGTAGTTCATGATTTGTATAATAATCAGTTAAAATAAGGTGTGTCATCTGCAGAAGCTCATGAAAAAATTAACGTTCTGGTTCTTATTTAGAAGCTTTAACTTCTTAAATACTTGTAAAGTTCCTGAAAATACTGACTACATATTCATATTGCCTAGTTTCTCCCTCTGAGGTGCTTCTTTTCCTTCCTCTCCCCTCCAAAATACACAACTTTAAAAGAAAACTAGAAGTCTCCAGTCACATTTAGTCTACAAAATTCTTCACATTCTGATTTTCTGTCTCCAATTGCATGTATGCACAGGTGAACTACACATGTTCACATGTTTATGCACAACATCAGCTCCTTGCTGCTATTTCCATATCAGTATGACAAACATTTCAGGTCAGAGCTCTGAGCCAGGCATGGCCACTGAGCTCCAGCTCACCTTCGGGTACCCTCAGGAGGCACTGTGTCCCTGAGAGCTCTCTGCCACCTCTTCCTCTCCCTCTTTTCCCTTTTCCCAGAGGAAAAAGTGATATATGTGCAGTGGACACCACCACTGGAAAATTGTGTCATCTTGTTATGTTGTTCTGTATGTTGTTTATTTAGAGTTATTTACACTAAATAAATTATAAGCTATTATAAACATTATTTATTTAGTGTTTACTAAATCCCCACCCATCTGAATGGACTTACTGGGTATGCAAGCTATGATTGTCCACATGTATTTGAGCCCAAGGTCAGGTATCTTATATCTAACTTCCTTACATAGCATGTGCTACAAACCACACTAGCCTTTTGCTATTAGGTAGTTCCAAAAAAGATTTCACTGACAGTATGACATCAAGTGACAGAGACTAGTCCTAAGCACTTTTTTTTCAGTGTCTTCATTTTACTGAAGAGTACTAATAATTAATATAGAATAGGTCATAGTCTGTTTCCAAATTTCAGACCACCATCCATATGCTTTCTTCACAAGACTGCATTTTAACCATTGGGGCTTGCAGGTTGTCATCAGAATCCATATTAACAGCCTACATTATAGCTAAGAGACCTCCTGATTGCTCTGATTAAAGCCATCTTAAACATCAGATCACTTGCAAGTCTCACATCACACACAAGACCCAAAATCAAGTAAATTATATTACAATCAAGTGTTTACAGTATTTAAAATTCTTCTTTATTTCAAATAACATTATTTCTCCATCTATGCCAAGACCACATTTGGTAGGATAAACCGCTTGTCTGATGGATCAAGCCAGGCCCATGCACCTGTTCATAAGATCCCAGGTAACTTCTACTTCCCCTTCCAAGCTCCCTGTCATTTACAAAAGTTGTTCTGATGACATCATGAAGAATCTTTTTGATTTTACAGTTTTCTCTAGGTCTTCAAGAAAACTGTACTCTTGCCAAAATCCCATCTGTAACATAGTGAGGAGAGCATGTACATAAACACATATGTAAAAATGGCAGGAAGATTAAGCTACTTACACTATTGTAATTTAAATTCTTCAACATCATATTGTTGAACTGAGGGAAAAAAAAAGAACTTAAACATACATTAGCCCGCTCACAAAGTGACATCCAAATTATAGTAATGCAATATTTTTTGAATTACGCAGCTCATCGATAAGAACTGAGGAAGACATTAATTTATTGGTGTAAAGGAAGGAAGGGATCTTCGTGATCTTCTAATCTGCTACAAATGGCCAAGATGATAAACAAACTGAACAAAGGGGAGAATCACACCTGGAATCAGAATTACCTGAAAAAATGTTATTTAATTTATTACAACTTTATTTTTACTCTGCTAAAAAGTTATACAAAGCTTTCTCATTGGCATTAAAAGTATTAAATGAATTGAAATTTTGACACAGATTCCATCTTCCTGAAAAACTGAATCCTGTGAAGCCACAAAACACAGAAACTGTTTCTGTTTACCTATTCATAGGAGTTATAACCACCTTATAAAGTTAATTGATTAAAATACTGTTTTTACAGAGGGAAAAAGGATACTTGCCTACTTAACTTAAAGAGGAAGCTAGTCTTTGGTGGCCTGTGGCCATACCAGAGCATCCTGTCCAGTGACCCAGCAGCCTCCCTCTATGCAGGGATAGCCCTTAATAAGTGGATGCAACATTTTATGGCAGGTGTAGTGCAGTGGACTAAACACAGCATTAAAAAAACAGCCTTTCTAATCCCAGTAAGAGTTCACGTAATCACTCATATATATTTCTCTTTCTTCTAGTAAAGTATCTGCACTGCCAAACATGCATAATGACATCTTCCTTAAGAGCATATTTTATTGATTTGTTGATGCTTGTAAATTATTGGAAGATAAACAGTTCTTCAGATGTCATCTTGTGTGAAATTGCTACTCTTTCTTGAGTCAGATGGATATTGTATTGTCTATCAGGAGAATTTTTACTGAGTAAGAATCTCAGTTTCTATTGTTAAATTCAAATATTCATGCAAATTGACTGCTTAGCTTACTTACCTCTTGAAAACTCTATATGCGACAGATGCTGGTACTTTTCAGTATGATCAAGACATTTCTAACAGGTAGATATAGAAATACCAGGGAAGAGAGGAGAAAAAAAAATGCATTTCAAATGAGAGCAGAGGCAGACAGAACCAGTGTCCCCACAATCTCGACTGCTAGAAAAAAAAAAAAAAAAATTTGTTTAAATAAAATATTGGTAACCATTTTAATAAATTGGGTGCTACTAGTGAGAAAAATGGTTAGTCTTGATCACCGTTAATGACTCATAAGCAAATAAAGGTAGAACCTGCCTTTAAAACTGGTCTCTAAAAGTAATTTTTTAAACTATAGTGATAGTTGGTGTCATCTTAACTGAGTTATTTTGTCATTTGTGATACAATGTTTCACATATTTTGGTCATGTTTTTAGTAGGTTTTCTCTTTATGAAGTTAGAAGTTTCAGCAATCCTTATGGTATTGTGCTTTTGCCTGTTCACAGAAATTGGTTTTAATTAGAGCTCAGCATGAGCTAAATGCCTTGGAAACTCCTGTCTGCTTCTGGAAGAGAAAACTACATTCACATGTAATCTGCAGTTGGACAAATATCTCATAAAATCTGTGAAATTGTTTTGGATGCTGTAGTGTGTCATACAAAATAGCTGAGCTTAGGTAGTGTCTTCTCTAAAATGTCTACCAGCCAAAAGATAAACCTGCTAGACAACTCTCTAGGGTGGGGACTTTTTGTGAATAATTAGCCTTGAGCAATGAAACTCCAGAGCCACACCTGGGCTGAATCTTTGATCTGTCTTTATACAGCTAGAACCATGTTACAGAGTTTATGTGCTATCCTGATGTTGCAGGCGATAAAATCTTTACTCTTGCATACATACTGCAACAAATGCATATGTGCATGTATGTATACTTATATATATCTCTCTCATATATATATATATATATATGTGGTTAAAATGTGTGTTAAGGCTCACTGTTCAATTACTTTTCTCCATTGTTTGTTCTGGTTTAATCACTTTTAGGATTTGTTATTTTTTCTTTCTTTTACATAAAAGATGAAACTCAATGACACATTCTTTCTTGATGGCATCAGAACAATAGATACAACAATCAGTGTGCTGACAGAGCAGAATCTTTACTTGACCTATTTAGTGGGTACACTTGTCAAAGACTGTAAAATTAAATAAGTTAAACGTTTACAATATGCATGTTTATTTTTTTGCACATAATACCCAGGGTTTTTAGATAAGTTTTATTAAGTAAGAGAAGGGGTCAAATAGTCTCATGTATCTGATCTAGCTGCATATGGTATTTACTGGACAGTGTACAAAAACTGTGAAATGAATAATAATCAGTTTGTCCTCCATTTTAATCTTTGATGCATTTCCAGCTCTGCCTGTGGCCTTGGGCAAACCCCTGAACTTTTCTGTCTATCTTATATATGCAATAAGAATTATAATAATATGGAATTAATTGGTTATTTGTTTGCTATTTTTAAGATTGTTAGCTACATTCTTCTCTTGTTTATACCAATGTAGTATCCCAAGTGAATGAATTTGACTGTGTTAATTTAGAAAAATTCAAACACGGTTTCCACCCTCATACTTAATGTTGCAGATCTCTTCTATCATTAAGTTCTGCAAATACACATGGGAAATACCCATGTTGTTATGAAAATTATCAAGAATAAAAGAGCTTGTTTCTTTCACCCTGTGTAGAAATAATTGCTTCTGATTTTTTATTTTAAGAGCATGCCAACTATGTATTAAAGCTCCAGAATGATTAGAAAAATTATTCTTTTACAAAATTATTAGAAAATTTGTCTTCTTAGTCACTGAACTGAATAGTTCAACAGACCATTGTTCATTTAGTAAATAAAATGGAGCCAACACATTGTTGCGAGTGCAAACTTTTTGTTATCTGTAGTTCTTCAACAACATCAACATGTATCTGTATGACTGGGCTGTTGAACTTGCTTCAGTCACACTCCTCACATGAATATTCAGATTTACTGAACTGATGCTGTTGAAACCACTAAGAAGTAACCATCTGACTGGTGGATAAATCATTGGGGAAGTATCTGTGAGTTGTAATTCTTTCGTAACTTTTAGGGTGTTGAAGAAGTCAGGCTAACTTGCACACCCAAAGAGAATTTCAAGATAAGGGCACTTTAATTTCATTTTGCTTTGAATATTGACATACTCAAAAAGCAACATTTTTTACATATTCTGACCTTTTTTGAAATTAAACTACTTTAAAACTAAAATGCTTATGAGTTATATTAATTTAGAATAATAAATAACCCTCTCTTCTATATCATGTAGGAGTTATAGTGAAATAAGTGCTACATAGGCACGCAGAAACAGCCTTTTAGCAAAACTTCCTTAACATTGGGTAATGACCACATTATAATGCACCTGATAAAAATACGCTAATATTTTTCCTTACAGACAAAAATAAAGTGGCATATATTCCTGTTTCCATATATAATTCATATATATACATGTATTTCTCCTCAATTAAACTTTTGTGCAGCTGTATCAGAAACACAGCATGGTTTAATGTCAGCTCTAGGGAGTTCCATACTAGGCTTGGTCTAAATGTCTAAAAATGGATTAAAAAAAATAACGCTGCTTTAACACATTAAGTTTCACCTTTGTTTAAGTGATCATTTTTAAATTAATTGTTTTGTTCATTTGTATCTAAAAAAAAAAACCAAAAGCACATTTCTAAGGACTATAAACCTGCTTTTCTGATCCCATAGATGCCAGGAGGCTCTGAATAGAAGACTTCCCTTATTTTCAAACTGCAGAGAAAAGCTGTGAATCCTTCTTCTTTCACCCTCTGCTCAGCAGTGGTGGCTCCACCATGCAGAGTCCCAGGCACGGGACTTGCCCAGGAGAAGTTGAGCCAGGGGGACATGCTGGGTGGGCAGCACTCCACCCCTCCCTCCGCAAGGGAGAAGCCCACACCACTTTTCAGCTTCAGCAGCACGATACTTGCAGTCTGTCATCACCTGGGCTTGGTTTTGGGCTCAGACTCACGCTGATCCTCTGAGAAAGTCCGATGACTCTCACATCTGAGTGAGGTTTCAGTCAAAACCTCAAATAGCATTTGTTAAAAATGTTTACGGTGCTGTGGTTTCAACTTCAGGCTGAGAAAACAAATATTTAATGGGCAATAAAAATTTTAAGACACTTGAGAAGTAGGGGAATGTTGTTTTGCTTGGCAACACGCTGTCTTTCATGCTGAGATACCAAGTAACATGTTCAGTGTGCGGTTTCGTTTTAAGACCCACGCAAAATGCTTTTGGTAAGATATTACAGGGCTAAATCCACTTCAATTAGCATTTCAGTTAGGGATTCATATACTCAAGCACTCTATAACATTTGCTAGCAGGGTTGGTGGCAACAGAACTGGAGGACTGAGCTATTTGTCCAGCATACAGCTCGGACGTAGCATGCTACCTGCTGTCCTCATTAGCCTTATTTCCAACCACGCTGCACAGCTCTTTTAATAGTTTTCTGTTCCTGCTCTGGGTTTTCAAGTATGGTTTTTAAAAGCTGTGACTCCAGCATGAACTTTGCACTTGCATGCTCAAAGAATCACTATTTATTTTCTGTTCTTTCCCTCCCATTTGCCCTGTTCTGCTAAATCCCAGCCTATAAAATTCTGCACTCGTATGACACGCGCTCCACCCTGGACAAAACACAATTCCCTTTTAGTTATAGGTTTGAGAATGATGGTATCCGTCAGCAAAAAATCCTAGGGAGAAAAGATGAGAAACCTCTATAATCTATATGGAACTAGATAACAGAAGGTGTAAGAATTTCTTCCCCCCTCAGGTTTCTCACAGACTCAGCAAGATCGGGCCAACATTTGGCTGCTGTAATTCACTGTCGGGTGCATTAACCAACATCCACTTTGG